CACCAGAGCTAAGCTGACCCGAAGCCAGGAGCCAGGAGCCTCTTCCAGATTTCCCAGGTGGGTGCAGGATCCCAAGGCTCTGAGCCATCTTCTTTTGTTTTCCAAAGCAACAAGCAGGAAGTTGGATCAAAAGTGAAGTAGGGCCCAGCAAAGTAGCCTAGCGGCTAAAGTCCTCACCTTGCATGCGCCAGGATCCCATTTGAGCAATGGTTTTAATCCTAGCTGCCCTGCTTCCCGTCCAGCTCCCTGCTTGGGAGCTGGGAAAGCAGTCAAGGATGGCCCAAAGCCTTGGGACCTTGCACCCACATGGGAGACCTGGAAGAGGCTCTGTGCTCCTGGCTTCGGATCTGGCGCAGCTCTGGCCATCATGGCTACTTGGGGAGTGAATCAACAGACAGAAGATCTTCCTCTGTTTCTCCTTCTCCCTGACTTTCCAATAAAAATAAATAAACCTTTTTTTTTTTAAAGTGAAGCAGCCAGGACACGACAGGTGCCCATGTGGGATGCCACGGCACAGGGTAGAGGATGCACCTGCTGTACCACCACGCCAGACTCATGGTCTGAGTTGTGACAGTGAAGGTGGAGAACAGCCCTGTCACTCTGACAAGTCCCTGGCCTGCTTCTTCGTGCCCAGTGTCCACTGGAGCCCAACCACGGGCAGCAGCTCTGGGTGTCTTCTGTCCTCATAGTTTTGCCTTTGCCAGAAGGTCACATAAACCCAGCTAGCACAGTGCCCTGGAGGGTCCCTGACATTGCGGAAGAGGTGGCTTGTTTAGTGTGCAGCCTGCTGTGGAGCTGGGCAATGCTTCGTGTATTCACTCACTGAAGAGCATTTGGTCCTCTAAGTTTTGGTGATCGTGGGTGCAGCCACCATAAATGTTCACATACAGGTTTTTGAGAGGTGAAAACTCAGGATTTCCTATGGGAATGGAATTGCCAAAGCTTATGCATTGGAGTTTGATAAGAAGATGCTGGGGTCAGCACGGTGGGGTAACAGAATAATTCTCTACCTCTGGTGCCAGCATCCCATAAGGGCGCCTGTTTGGGTTCTGGCTGCTCCATTTCTGATCCACCTCCCTGATGATGGCCCGGGAAAGCAGCAGAAGACAGCTCAATGCCTTGCAACCCTGCACCCACACGCGGGAAACTGGGAAGAAGCTCCTGATTCCTGACAGGGTAAGCTCAACTTCAGCTATTGCAGCCGCTTGGGAAGTGAATCAGCAGACAGATCTTTTTCTGTCTCTCCTTTCCCCTGGAAATCTACTTTCCCAATAAAAATAAATAAATCTTTTTTTAAAAAGCAGCTAACATGCTTTCCAAAGCGTCCCTTTTTGCATTGCTGCCAGCAGCCCACCTGGGATCTGGTCCCTCCGGGCGCTCTCTGTTAGTACACTGCTTGGGTTGCCTTTGCAGCTCTGTGAACATCTGTTTTGGCCATCCAGCTCGGTGTTATGTTCTTGCAGCTGCCAACTCTTTTGACAGCACCATATCTCCTTGATGGCTGGAGCTCTATTGGCCTGAATGAAGGCAGTGGAGGGATCCAGGCTTGTTTGTTGTTTTTGTTTTTTAATGGCTCGGCTATCCTAGCTCTTTTATCAGTCTAGGAAACTTCAGAATCAACGTCCTTTATCTACCGACCTGGTTTATGACCAATCTGCAGTCAATGTCGGGAGGAGCACTGGCACTTCTGCAACACTGATCTGGGAGACGCACACAACAGTGTGGCTCCATTTATGTGGTTCCACTTCGATCACTGTCAATAGTATATCTACATCTATATTTTACTTTGCAGCATAGAAGTCATCACCTATTACATTTACACTTACATATTTCAGCGCCTGATTCTATTCTATTATCTTTTTATTTTTGTGAATCTGCATTAATATACAAAGATGCACCTGAGTCTTGCTTAATCACATTTCCTAAAATTTATCTTGAACTCACTTATTCCTGCTAATAACCTTTTGGCAGATTCCTTGCAGATTCTCAATGTACCTTGAGAAAATTCTTATTTCTTCCTTCACAATCAGTAGGCCTGCAAGCTGGCACTGTGGCATGGCATGCAAAGCCACCATGTGCGACACCAGCATCCCAGTGACCACTGCTTCCGGTCCCAGCTGCTCCACTTCAGATCCAGTATCCTGCTAACAGCCTGGGAGCAGCAACAGACGGCGGCCCCTGTGCTCGGGGTCCTACATGGAAAATACAGGTGAAGCTCCTGGCTTCAACCTGGCTTCAGCCCTGCCCACAATGGGCATCAGGGGAGTGAATCAGACAGAAGGCCTGTGTGTGTGTGTGTGTGTCTCAGTAGGCCTTTTAAATGACTCCCCCCCCACCCCCCCCCCACACACCTCTTTATGGCACTGCCTAAAACCTCCAGCACAACAGGGTGAGCTAGGGAGGGTGACCATCCATGTTGGATGCCCTGCCATGGCAAAGTGTCAGTATTTCACTATTAATTCTGTTAACTGCAGGAACTTGGCAAATGTCTGTCATCACATTGTGGGAGTGCTGTGCTAGTTGTCAGGCAAGTTTGTAAAAATTTATTGCTGGTGGAAGTGGGGGTGCTGTGATGTAGTACATTAAGCTTCTGCTGGTGCTGGTTTGAGTCTTGGTTGCTTCACTTCTGATCCAGTTCCCTGCTAATTTGCCTGTGAACATGGGAAACCCAGAAGAAGCTGCTGACTTCTGGCTCAGCTCAGCTCTGGCCATTGCAGCCACTTAGGGAGTGAACCAACATACAGACAATCTGTCTCCTTCTCTCTGCAAATCTGCCTTTCAAATAAAAAAAAATATATTTTCTTAAAATCGTGACTAAGCAGGCTTATCTGATTGAGCTGCCAGTTGAGAGAGCCCCATTCCCCTTTGGGCACCTAGCTTTGCTATCTGGCTGTAACCCCTGACTGCAGCATCCTGCTAATGAGACCTTGAGAGGCAGCAGGGACACCCCAATATTACGTCCCCCCCCCCCAGAAATCCAGACCAAATTTCTAGTTCCAGACACCAATTTGGGAAGTGAACCAGTAGATGGGGTTTTTCTCTCCTTTCTCTTACTCTCAAATAAACACAACTTTTTAGAATTTATTAACAAACTTGCATGTAGTCAAGTACCCCTCCTGCATACAGAGTAACAGCCATGGTGTTTGGATTGAGAATTTTTCAACCTCGTGCTGCAGATGGAACCCTGCTGTCTCCATGGTAATGGGCTGGCACTGTGGCACTGTAGGTTAAGCCTTGCATTGCAGCATCGATACTCTGCAAGTGAGTACAGGTTTGAGTCCCAGCCGCTCTGCTTCCAACCCAGCTCCCTAATGCGTCTGGTGAAACAGTGGAGGATGACTCATATGCTTGTACCCCGCTGCCATGTAGAAGACCTGGATGGGATTGTAGGCTCCTGGTTTCTGCCTGGACCACTGCAGCCACTTGGGGAGTGAACCAGTGGAAGACATATCTGTCACTCTACCTCTTAAGTAAGAGAAACAGAGGCTGAACACATGACACAGTCAGTGGGGGTGATGAGAAAGCACAAAAGTGGGGGCCGATGGCAAGTCCCACCCAACGGTCCCTCTGAACTGGGGTTACCGGAGCGACAGCAGCCATGTTTACCTGGGTCTGAGAGGACTGAAGAGCTGACCACCTGCCTCTTTGTCGCTGATGGAATCCCACAACCTCCCTGCCTCCTCAAGCTTCATTCCCCCATATTCCTTGACAATTAGCTCCTGATGCCATCCTGCCAATAGGAGGCATTGGCATGAAACTGCAGAGTGGGAGTGTGGGGGAGGGGAGAAGCCCCGGGAGCTCTCCACTCCTCTTCAGGCCGTACTGACTGTGCCTCTCCCGGGATCCTGACTTTCTCAGATCCCCTCTCCTGGGGTCCCTCCTGGCCTGCCCCCGTCCCCTCAAGTGATAGTGGCTTCCTATTGTACTTGAGCTTGTACATATCCCACTTTCCATCTCTCCACTGATTCTCCAAGTCACTGCCTGCTGCTAGCACGGACTACTCACGGGCAGTCACATGGAGGGCTGGACCAACACAGCCCGAACAGAAAGGCACCAGGCCTCGTCTCCCCACTCCAGTGTCCCTGTCACCCCTACATTGGCTGAAGGAACAGGCCAGGCAGGGGGAATGGTTTGACCTGAACTATACACTCTTTCACAGGATTTTTGTTGTTGTTCTTAAAGTTGCTTTGCAGGTAGCATCAGTTTTCCAGGAGAGTCCACGAGGGTTTGTTCCTTTTGGCTCTTGCCCATAAGTTACCTATTAGAACATGGCTCTTGGGCCCAGCGCGGTGGCGCAGTGGTTAAGGTCCTCGCCTTGCACGCCCGGATCCCATATGAGCGCCGGTTCTAATCCCGGCAGCCCCTCTTCCCATCCAGCTCCCTGCCCGTGGCCTGGGAAAGCAGTCGAGGACGGCCCAAAGCTTTGGGACCCTGCACCCCCCCACCCCCGTGGGAGACCCGGAAGAGGCTCCTGGCTTTGGATCAGCATAGCATGACCGTTGCGCTCACTTGGGGAGTGAATCATCGGACGGAAGATCTTCCTCTCTGTCTCTCCTCTCTGTATATCTGCCTTTCCAATAAAAATAAATAAATCTTTAAAAAAAAAAAAAAACATGGCTCTTCCTCATCTATTCCAGGCTCCACCCACATCTCCTGCCAGAGCAGGTGGCAAGTCTGTCTTACGAATCAAGTGATGCTGGGCAGACATGGGCAGCAGGGACTGGCGAGTGAGGAAGGTCCTGAGTTGGGACCGTGATGGTGCCTGCAGCTAAAGGGGCTGTGGCGCCCAAGAGAGGGAGAAATGCTTGATCCAAGCTACAAACTGGGAGTCGTGGGATCTGGGCGGGGTCAGAAGTCTGGCAAGTGGCAGGACACAAGCTTCTGGCTGTCCGCAGAGGAGAACTGTGGAACAAAAACACTACCCAGGCCAGCCCGGGGGTCACTCCCTGCTGTGTCCTGCCCCAGGCCTCTGAGACAGAAACACAACTGCAGCCAGCACCCTCCGTCACGAAAGACCTTTAATGGCCTCCTACATATGCTTCTTTTGTTCATTTGTCCTGTTACAGTTGGAGAAAACTAGAGAAACTTATCAGACATGATAAGGAATGGCACGGGTACAACAGGTGACCCTGGCGAGTGGTCCAGGACTATCACAGCACAATCACTCCACACATCTGGAGACGCTGCCGTCTCCCTTCTGCCCCCTTCGCCATGCCCCGCACGCAGAGGCCCAGTCAGGAGGAGGAGACATACCCCACCATGTGTCTGTGGCCAGGACAGAATCCCAAGCAGAACGGCCCCAAGTGGGCGAGGCGCCTGCCTCTCAGTTGCCACTGTCTCACAAGACCACACCTCTACCCACATCTCCTGTGACCTCTGCAAGGGTCCCTGTGTAGTGGGCGGAGCCTGGCACTGGCCCCATGTTATACTTGGGGAGACTGAGGATCCTGAGAGCCCCCAAAGGCCCACTCAGATCACACAGCAAGTCCTAACTGGCACTCGGGTACCCTGTGGCTGGCTATGTCCCGAGCGTCCCATTTTCACTTGGGATGCCCTGGGTAAAAGGCTCTGAGCAGGCAACTGTGCCAAGGGCTGGTTCAGATCTCACCTAAATGTGCTCCTGAGCTCTAGGGAGAAGCCCAAGCAGAGAATTAGGCAGAGAGCTCAAAGCTTCAGGGTTTTGGTGAGGGGGGGGGACCAACCTCCCTGTGGGCATGTGCACCTGTTAGTCCCCAGGGGTCAGAGGGCAGCTCTATTAGAATTGCTCCAGAGAGACTTGCTGTTCCAAACGCTCCGAGGGGACTTTGTCTTAAAGGCTTCCCCCTCCCTCCTTGCATCTTTGTGAGCCCTGAGCTCCATCCATGCCGAATCTGACTGGCTCTTCTCCTATCACACCCCTTCCTGCTGCCCCAAAGGCCTGCAGCCGGGGAGTGGATGGCACCAGGGATGTGTAGACACAGCACTTCTGACTTCACAGTTCCCAGTGGCAGGACCTACATCAAGGGTCCAGCCCCTTCCTCACTGCGCAGCTTGCCCAAACCAAATCCAGGTCAGGACTGCGGAGTAGGGTGCCTGGGGAGCGTGTGAGTGTTACATGCATGTGCCTGTGACCCTGGCACCAGTGCAAAGTTCCTTTGTGGTGCCACACTGGAGCTGTTCCAACAGAGATCACCAGAGAAGCCAGGCTTGTGGGCCTCACCTCAAACTCATGACAGGGGCATGACATTTTTCTTCAAAAACACAGTTTTGCAAGGGAAATGGGTAGAGATGGAGATGAGCTGGAGACCTCCCCTTTGCCTTCACCCTCTTCCCCACCGGAGCTGATCCTCAGCACACTTTGCAAACTCTCGAACGGCCCACAGCCCCTGCTGGAAAGCCACAGGCTCAGGGTCTGCAGGGGTCCCAGGGACCTGCACCTGCCCCTTCTTCCTTGAGGCCACAGGGAAGTAACCCTGCAGGCAAGTGGAAGAGATGGGAGAACCTGTAGTAGAGCCACTATAATCCAGGAAGGAGAGCCAAAGGGACACAGCACCACTTAGTATGCGGGCTCCATGCCAGGCTGTGTGAGTGAGGGGCGAGGTGTCTGTTTTGGTCCTCACCTAGTGTAAAAAGCAAGCTGCCAGAGCAAGTCTAGGCCTGCATCCACGAGACTCTGTGAGAGTTCAAGATGAGGGCCTGGCCCTCCTCCTGGAACGGTGGGAAGGCACAGGCCCAAATGCAGCTAAGAGAGATGCCGCTTCCTGGGGAATGGGTCAGCTGGGGATGGGTGGTCCAGGCTCAAGACTTTGGTTGTCCCTGGACCTGAAGCTCTCCCAGGGACTGTGTTGGCTCCTTCTGATGCTGGATGGGGCCTCACCCTTCGAAGAACAGGAGCAGGCAGTTTCCATGGAGCCTACTCTGCTGGAGAGGCAGGTAGGGGGCTGAACCCCCGAGCATGAGGGCATGCCTCTCCTCAAGCCAGTCAGCACCAAAGTTTCTCAGTCCCCACAGAGCCTGCCACGTGGGAGGTATGGGTGGCAGATGGGTAGATGCCCTTCTCTCCCATTGTTGACAACAGCCATGTCTTCTGTTCTGATTACCGAAAAGGCCGATCTTGGTCACGGCATGTTGTCTCAGCTGGGTCACCAAGCTAAGCTGGCCACGTCTCATTCTGCCTGCCATTGACCGTGTGAAAAGGAGAACAAAGCAGTGAAGACTCACAGGGGAAGGGGGAGTGGCTTGTGAGCCTGGGGCCACACCCCTGCAAGGTGCAGGGCCGGCCATGCTGTGCAGGCATCAGCAGCAGACATGGCACCATAGGCTGGCCTTAGTCTCAGCTGGGCCCCACAACTCCTCCTTGAAGAAGGGATCACTGTCCCATTTTACAGTTAGGAAAACAGTCCACGACCCAGATCAATGTGCTCAAGGCCACCCCGCAGGTCTGAGAGGCAGCACCAGGGACTTCCAGCACCCTCTGACTGCACCATGTGGGGACCTGCAGATCTCCCAGCAGAACCCATTCTGCAGGTAAGCCCACCCTCACCTGTCCCGGCTTTGTACCTAAGGAAGCTCTGGCGTGGGAGTGGGGTACAAATAACTGGATCCTTGCCTTCAAAGAGCTGAATGCCCCTCTTGGTTGGGGTGCCAAGAAGCCTGGCTGCCTGCCCCGTACCCAGGGCATGCCACTCCTCCACATCCAGACCGGCATGGATGCGCCATCCACATAGCACTATGTGGTTGGCATAGGAACAGACAATGCCACGGGCTAGTGCCTGGGTGCTAGCGAGGCTCCCCGCCCCATCTCACCAGGTCTCACTGGGCAGGCTGCCTGCAGAGTGGACAGGGCTCTGGGAAGTTCACCCTGTGGGCTCAAGTGGGCATAGGGGTGGAGTCTGGAGCCTGACTAGAAGCCTTGGAGAGACCCGGGGCATTTCTCTTCGGAGAGAGGTCAGAGGGGATGCTGTGGCTTGTGTGCCTATAGGGCCATAGCATAGGATCGTACAGGAGTGCACTGGGACAAGGGCAAGTGTGCCTCAAATGCAACCCCTCACCAAGCTGTGCCTTCCGATGCAGGCCTGTGACCAATAGGAAGGCGTGTGGTTGGCGAATTCCCATCAAGGCACTATGTGGACCAGCAACAGCCAGGGGGCCCAAAAGGCAAGAGAGTCCCTCCCTAGCATTCTGAACCATGGGCTTCCTGAGGACAGGGACTGGGACAGCCCCATCTCTGCAGCTCCAGGGTGGGGCACAGGGCAGGGGCGCTATCAAGAGACTGGTGAGCCTGAATCCAACTAAACTTGGCCACTGATCTTGTGCAATCCAGATTCAAAGGTTCAATGACAGGTGTGTGTGTGTGGGGTGGAGGGGTTGCTCTGAGGCTGCCCAGTGGTTGGAGACAATACAGTGCAACACTAGGCTAAAGCCAGAAGGGGAGGCTGAGGATGCTCCGAAAGCCAGTCAGACAAAGCTTTTGTGTGTACACATGAGCAATGGGGGGAGGGCCTATAGGGGACTGGTCACCACCCTCCAAAGCTTCAGCACCCTGCATCACCCTAGAGATGTCAGCAGAAGACACTGGAGCACCCACCGTGTACTGTCCAGCATTTTATCAGCTCTACGAGGGTCCTTCAACAAGTGGTGGGAAAATGCAATTAAAAGAGTAAGTTTATTGGTGCAAAAAAAGTTGAGATTCATGCATAGTTTTTTTTCATCATACACATTTTCCATAAACTTTTTGAAGACCCCCTCGTACAGCTGCCCGGGGTTTGAGGTGGGGTGAGTGCGAAGGGCCCAGCCAAAGCTCTGGCAAGGGGGCTGGGACCTCACAACTGGCCAGGACAGTGCCACTGTCCTGCATTGACTTGGTTCTGAGCTGGGCTGAGCGCTCATGAGATTCAGAAGAGGCAGGGACCCCAGGCTTGGGAACTGAACCGTTGCCCACCTCCAGAAGCACTGGCCTCGAGTGCTAAAACGTACTGTCTCCCTTTTTCAAGCTGGTATGTGACAGAGAAGACAGCAGATGTTGGGGTGCAGTCTGTCCTGTGAAGCAACCTATTTGCATGGGGAGAGCTCAGGGAGTCCACATCTGCTGGGATGGTGCACTATGAGATGCCCTATTGCGAGCAGCCATCCCTGCCTGCCAGATACAAACCCTGCCCCTCCTGAGAAGCTCCAGGCCCGAGAGACGAGCAGCACATGTAGGCTGTGGCCTTGCAGATATCAGGCAAACTCCACGTCTGCCTTCCAGGCTGTGGATCAAAGGGCACGGCCACACCCGGTGTGACCCCTTGAACACCAGAGGACCAACAGGCAGCTCTGACCCCTTTCCCCCCATCAGAACCTGTTCACAAATAGAGGCCAGCACCATCTATTTGTTCAGTGTTCCAGGTGAGGAACAGAGGCCCAGGGAGGGGAAGGAACCTGCCCTGCATCATACAGCAAGTTAGTATCAAAGACCAGACAAGATCTTTTCAACACACTCTACCTCACTGCTTGTCTGCCTGTGGCAGCTCATGGCAACAGCAGGGGCATCCCACTTGGCAAGGGAAAAGGAGGAGTTCCTGGCCCTCAGTGTCCATCACCTCCTTGAGTGCCTGTATCTCAGCAGGACCTGCCGCCTTCTGGGAAGGACCCTCTATTCTGGGCAAACTGGCCATGAGCACTTGCACCCTGGCTGCAGCCCCAGCCTAGTTCGGGGTAAGATCTACAGGAGGCAGCAGGAAGACACAGTGGGAAACCCCAGCTGCCTTGAGGCCTCCCTTCTTGCCTCCTGCCATGTGATCATCTTAAATCCACAAAACAAGGCTTCCAGGACAATTCCTGAGCCTATTTCTCACCTCTGGAACCCTCCCTCCTCCACCCTAGGGCCACAGCCTGCTAAAGAGCCCCTCCCTCCCTGCTAAAGGTCCCCAGAAGTACAGGCTGACCTGATGAGGCATGCCAACCCACGCTGATGCAGACTCAGCTAGCTCACACAGCCTCCCTTCAACTGGCAATACCGTGGACAACAAAGTCCAGTTGCTTTTCTCCACTCCCTGGGCTAGGACCCGTCCATGAAGGTCACTGTCCAACACAGGCTCAAGGGGCCAGGATGGGGAGGGCAGGAGGGAGAGGTCTTTGGTGTTCCAAACTGCACAAGGGCATTGAGCATCGATCCGCAGCCTGCCTCTTCCAGCCACGAGAAGGTGGCCTTCAAGGCAGGTCATCTTTTAGCTGCCAGAAACACGCTGACCACCAGGGGCTGTTGTTCATGTTGTCTTCTGCGTCTGAGGCCTGCAAACCCAGTGTCTCCAAGTCCTCACGCCTCCCTCTTTCCTTCCTCCTAACACCAGGCCATTCCCAAGGCCACAGGTGACCTTTCTGGGAACAGGAGCAGGTGGAGGGAGCATGGAGTGTGAACACAGGATGGAGGACACGCTGGGGTCCTGTTGGCATGGAGGCTGCGGGGCTGGTCCTGAGGCTCATCTCCAAGGCCCCCCCAAAAAACAACCTCCGGGCCCCCTGGGAGAAACTGGAAGACCAGGGGAGTGGGGTTGGGCAGGATGGGGCAGGGGTGGGGGCGGACACCAGAATAGGAAGTAGACGGAGAAGCATCCTAGTGTGTGAGAACCGGAGCTGCCCATAGGAAGGGCCAGCCCCAGCCTATCTGTTGTTAAGCCTTGGGGAGCCCGTGACGTCCTCCTCTTCCTCCTTGTCATCCTTCATGCCTTTCAGCCTCTGCCGGGCAAAGTCCTCAAACACAATGTCATCATCGCTGGAGGAAGAAACAAGGAGAAACAGGATGTGTTTGCAGCAGCTGGAGGCACTAGCTTCTCCCGCAGCCCGACCAAGCAAAGCTGGGACCCAGGAGGCATCTGGGGCTGCTGGATGGGAGGGGACGTGACGCTGAATGCTAGAAAAGTGGGGGTGGTGCCGTGGACCAAGGGGAAGGAGTAGAGGAGCCGCATGCCTCAATGTCCAGAAAAGAAAGGCTCTCACAGGGCAGGGGCTGGACCCTAGTAACTTCACGCAAATTCTCAACCTCTAAGACCAGACCCAAGCAGTCCCACCCAAAAACCCAGCCAGCAGGGAGGTTGGGGGCATGCCTGTCTCCAACCAGGACAAGGTAAGCTTGGGTTACTGCAAAACACAGCCACAGCAGGCTTACACACGGAGCCATCCTAACAGCAGGCTGGGGTGGGGCTGGACAGGGCAAGGCAGGGCAGGTCAGTGCTAACAGCAACTCCCTTATACCCTAAAATTTGTCCACTCAGGACCCAACGATCCCTGCTTCCACAGATGGTAGCTGCTGCACGGGGCATGCTCAAGGGAGACCAGACACCTCATATCCCAGAAGTCTCCTGGGGGGAATCTAAGGGACCTTGGGAGCTTCAGCAACCACGCCACTTGATCCTAGAGACAAGTGGTCAGCACACTGTCCCGGACACCCCAGCCCCAGATCCTGACCCATCCCACCGCCTGATTCCATCAGGAAGGCGGCACCAGCCCTGTGTGAGGTGAGCAGGTGGTGTGGGTGGACGGACGCACGGACTGACGAACGGACGTGCAAGGACGAAGGAAGACAGACCCCCAACAAGGCAGGAGGAAGAGGAACAGGCATGGAGTCGCTTTCAAGTCACATGCAGGCAAGCGGGCTGCTGAAGAGGTGAGCAAAGGTGGCTCTCAGCAGGCTGCTCCTCCAGATAAGGTTCATAAGCATGTTAGCAAATGACCACCCCGTTCCCATGCCCGCTGCACCTGCCCCACCCCCAATGTGAGCAGGCAGGGTTCCGCTTACTTGGTGTCAAGTTCTATGAGATTGGTGTCTACTGGCGTCTCGTTCTCTGGAACTGAACAGAGCAGGGGGCATCCCGGGGTTAGTATAGAAGGTGGGCACAGTCTGGGACCCTCGGGGCAGCCAGGTTCAGATGAGGTGGACCAAGAAAGAAATGGCCCCCACCCCATCCTAGAACACCCCAATCATCTAAAGGTCACCACAGGGTCCCAGATGCCCCAAACAGCAGGGAAACCCCAGGCTGCCAGCAGCTTCTTACCTAACACACCGCCCATACCCCACCACTGATGCTAAGACAACCCTTTCTGAGTCTCACTGATCTGGAGCTGTGTTATCATGAACTGGGAGTCCATGAACTGTGGCCAGTTGGATACCACCAAGAATGCTGTCTACACAGCCCTTCTTCTTATTCCCAACCAGGACCCAGCCCACGCCTGGATCCCAAGCTGAGAGCTCCCTCCCCAACTCCCAGCCTCACTCTCCCACAGAGAACTGCAGTGAGGCGCTGGCTGTCCCCCACCAGGAATTGTGGGGCCCACAGAGGATGCTGGGGGCTGGGGAGGGGCTGACCCAGGCTAGGGCTGACCCGTCTGGAAACTCCCACAGCACGGATTTTCCCCAACCCTGATCCTGCTCACCTTCCCGATGTGGGGGCTCCTCTTTAGGCTTGGGGTGCATTAGGGTGAAGGGCAGTTCCACGGCCACGTCGCTGAAACAGAAAGCCAGGGGTACTGAGCCTCAAGCCTCAGGCTGACTCCATGGCCACTGGATGGGGAGGGGTAGGGTTCCTGGTGGGAGCAGCTGGGCCCTGCCCTCTTTGAGCCTCCCTCTCTCTAGGAGAACTGAGGTGACCTCTTCCCTGCCCCCTAAAAAAAAAGAAACCTCTCCCTTTGTGGACAAGAGCCCCCAGCGAGCAGAGGACAACCCAAGACAGTGGGCATCACAGTCCCTGGGTGGCCCCACAGGTGCCCTGGAGCCCACCTGCCTCAGATGCCTGCCATCACACCACCCCTGCCTGCCCACCTCCTGGCTGTGAGCATGTCCACCCCCATGCCACCCTACTTCCAGGTGGCCCTGGCTACCTGCTCCCTAAAACTGGGCCCGGATGTACAGAGACAGCCTGTTGGAGGAACTGGAGGTGCCAGGCATGAGTCAGTGTTTCCAACCCAGCCTTCGCTGCCCGTGTCCCTGAAGGGCAGACACTCCCATGGCACTGATTGGGTCAAGGACTCTTCTGGATTCTTCCCACACAGCAGCACATTGAATCATCCCATCAACCCTATCCCTGACCCCCGTGAATGGATGGGAAAACTGAGGAATAAGATTAACACATCCTGCCCGAGTCTGGATGACCAAGAGAAGACTCCAGCTCCATGGTCACGCCCTCAGTACTGCATGGCTGCAGTGGAGTTGTGACAGCAGCCTGGAGCATTCTCTCAGCTTTACCCTGGGACACCCCCGACACCCAGTCCTAGCACCCACCTCTCGTCTGCTAACATTGTCTCCCAGGGCAGCACAGTGGCCAAGGGCACAGGGGCTGTTCTCTGAGATCTGTCCTGTCAGCCCCACCTCTCCCTGGTCCAGCCTGGTACACCTGTGAGGCTCCCTGGGCTCAGCTGCAGACCAGGAGAGCAGTGTCTCTGCCCTGTAGGGGAGGGGCCCAGAAGATGGCAGGTGGACGCGAAAGCCTGGCTGAACTGAGGAGCTTGTGCCCATCAGAGTTGCCACCCTGCTGGGATTGGCTCTTTGTTGTTGTTGTTGTTGTTTTTCCACTGCCCTTGCAGGTCCACAGGGAGGTGAGCCATTGTGGAACAAAACCTGCAGGAACCTGAGGTTTGCTAACCCCCACAAAAGCCCTGGAGGGAAGCTCCTGGCCTGTCTTTCATTCCCATCTGGAATTCAGCACCCAGAGCCAGCTTAGCCACAAAACTAGGGGCCGAAAACCTTTGCTGCACAGAATTCAAAGAATTTCACCTCTGACAACTGGGCTACGATTCCCTAGGACAAGCCAGAGGCCGCCTTGTGTCAAGGAGAGGCCACATGCACGCTGGGGTCTCACTCATCATTGTCCCTGGGAAGTGAGTCCACAAAGACAGACCCCAGGACGACCCTTCCTTGACAACCCTCACTCAGCTCCTCCTCCTCACCCATGGGCAGCAGTTGCTGAGTCACAAAGTCTGCACTTCTCCAAAAGAACCTATAACCTCGCAGACCACCCATTCTGACAGCTCAACCCAGACCACTGCTGTGTGTGCTTTGCTGCCCATGAGAGCCACGGACGGCATTGCGAGCTGCAGCCTTCACAGGACAGGCCGTGTCTTTCTCACAAAGGCTCAGGTACCGACACACCTGGCCCTGGCGATCTGAAATAACTCACTAAGGTTCCTTCTAAACCCAGCACCCCACTGTGCTGCAGATTTGTGGGTCTCTGGGCCCTAAAGGAAGGGGACAGATCAGCCAGGCCCAAGCGAGGGAATTTACCTGGATGCCAGATCTCCCAACAGGCTGAGTGGGTCAGAGGAGGCAGGAGGAGTGGTCAGGAGAGAGTTGAGAGAGGAAGAAAAGAGAAAGCACATTCATTCACTACCTCTGTTACCCCTCAGGTGGGCAGACACCGGACACACACCCCTGCCCCACACCTCCCACTGCACAGGCCTCGCACTGCACAGACCTCCCACTGCACAGCCCCCACAGCTCAGCCCTGCCCTCCTCCTCTCATTGCACAGCCCCACAGCTCACCCACGGGTGCTCTGAAATGGCAGTGCCCTTTCTTTGGGGATGGGGAGGGCTTGTGGACTGGGATCCAAGCCCAGCTCAGCAAACCCTGAGCCGCAGGCCCCACCTCAGGAGAGACCCCCTCCTCTGGCCCACCTAGCCCCAGTGGCTGGCACTGCGGTATAGCAGGTTAAGCCATTAGTGGCCTGTGGTACTGATATCCCACCCTGAGGCACAGGACACAGTCCCACTGCTGTGTTTCTGATCCTATTCCCTGCTGATGTGCCTGGGAGGCAGCAGACAATGGCCCAAGTGTTTGTTCCCCTGCCACTCCCATGGGAGAAGTGGATGCAGTTCTGGTTCCTGGCTTCTGTCTGGCCCAGACCTGGCTGTTGATGCCATGTGGGGAGTGAACCAGAGAGTGGAAGATCTCCCTCCGCCTCTCCTTAAAACACACACACACCTCCCTTGCTGCCTGCTGCACAGGGGGTCTGGAGGCAGCTAGCCCAGGCCAGAAGGTCATCTCCCGGGGCTAACTGAGAACGTGTCAACGACCGTGAGTCCCACAAGGCATTGGGGATTAATCATGGAAATAGAAACGGTGCCCAGTTCTGCACTCAGCCACTCACAAGGAAGCTTTCACAATAAAGGAGATTCTACATTGACCGGTATTTAGTTTTAGGGTTATTTTATTATTTTTTTAACTTTATTTATTGGAGAGATAGAGACACAGAGAAAGCTACCACCCCCTGCTTTGACTCCACAAATGCCTGTGACAGGGCAGCCAGCACCAGGGGCCAGGAACCCGCTGTCCAGGCCTCCTGCTCTGGGAGCCATCCCAGCTATCTCCTAGGGTTCCCCTCAGTGGGACACTGGAACCAGGAGGGGAGCCAGGTACCAAACACCGGCATCTCACCCAGCACCCGAAGTCACACCCCAACACCTGCTCTGTTGAACTGTCGGTCTCTATAGCAACTTATAACCAAATTAGAATTCATCCTCTGACAAAGCAGAAATCCCAGTAACGGCTTATAACATGTATACGGGGAGAGTCGGGGGTCTGCCCTATGTCCCCACAAAACTCTTCTCAGGGCTAGGAAGTACCATGACCACAACATCCAGTCAACCCGTCCTTGATGGTGTGGGGTTGGGGGAAGATTTTAAGGAAACATTTGGCCAACTGTGTGGGCCTCGATGAAATGGGGAAGCCAGAACTGCTAGCAAACCCCCCATCCAGCTCTAGGGTTCTGAGCCCCTTCGGCTATGTCCCCAGCATAAGCCAGAGCGGGGCTTGCTGCACCCCAAGGTGGGATAAGGGGCTCAGCATCCCCAGGCCTGAACATCCTCCCTTTTGGGGCCACAGCCAACCTCAGGGCAAAGTCCAGAGAGAGAAGAGGCCCCTGAAAGAGGAGGAAGAGGAAGAAAGAGGCAGAGAAGGGACCAGGAGGAGGTGAGGGAGGGAGGCGGGGGACGGTGGACAGGGGCCCTGGACAGCACTCACCCGCCCCGTGAGACCACCAGCTTGACCTTCACTTTGTAGGAGACAATGATGCCCAGAACCTCGCGGTTGGCGCCTTCCCGCATCCTGTGGGTGACAAGGGAAGCAGTCTGGGGAGTGACGAGGGGACGGAGCTGTAGGGGCAGCAGCTGCCCAGCCCATCTTGGGCCATTCAGCCAACTGAGCCTCCAGATGAGCAGGGTGGGCGTGGCCTCTGGCAGTGCAGCCCCTCCCACCCTCCCAAGGAGCCAGCCTCTCACAGCTGTGTGGATGTAAGGGGAGGCTGCGGGTGGGTGGCACTGTTCAGGGCTGGGGGTGAGGGGCACTGGAGGATCACAGTCCATCCCAACTACCCCACCAGGCCAGCCCTGGGTGGGAAGGGTGACATGCTGTCCTGCTGGAGCAGAGAAAGCTGCTGAAGTCGGATGGACAGGAGCAATTACACAGCCTAGAGGCAGCCCACACCTAGTCTAGCCCAGCTCACCACTGGGCCCAGCCCCTCTTGTTCATCACCTGCCACTAGGACCCTCCCAGGCACCAGCCACTCCCTTCCCTCCCTCCTGTCTCTTCCAGGAAGTCTTCCTAGATTGCCACCCTTCCCCTTCTGTGTGCACTGATGGGGCTGGCACTGATGGAGTGAAAGGATTTGGGGGGGACCTTGTTCTCTGGGGGAAGAGTCTCCCCAACAGGCCAAGCTCCCGAGGATACCCCTGGGGTAGGTGAGAATGAGTGCAGCCCGAGCTCTGTCTCCACACTGGTGGGGGCCCATGGGGGAGCCTCACAGTGTGCTGGAGGCCAAGTTCGTGTCCTCATGCTTGAGTTTTCCATCCAGCGCCAGGCCCCGCTTCTCTCGGTTGTTGGCCAGGAATGGGGTGAGCGTGTAGACCTTGCAGAATGTTGAGCTGGGGGCCACGGTGTCACTGGGGAGAAACAGGGCGGATATAAATCAGCCTCCTCCTCCTTCTCGCACACCAGCAAGCCACCAGGACACCTAGCCTGCTCCCACCCCACCTCTGCCAGGTGCAGGGACCAAATGGATCAGATGCAGTCCTGGCTGGCAGACCCCAACCACTCAGAGGACACACACAGCTGATCGAGGAATCTCACCAAAAGTCCTGCTAGCCAAGCGCATGGCGGTAACACAGGCTGACCTGAAAAGTTCCACCTCTGAACACAACCAGCAGGAAGCTGCTGGGCACCCACCTGTGCACCACCTCATGCTACACCTGTTGGGGGCAGGTGCTGGGCCCAGTGTTCCAGATGCTGCTTGAGATGCAGGCTTCCCTCCGTGAAGGGCTTAGATGTGAACTGGCTCCAGCTCTCTGCTGATGCGTACCCTGGGAGCCAGGGGTGAGGGCTCAAGTGCTTGGCTTCCTTCCATCCGTGCAGGAGGCCTGGGCCATGGTCCTGGCTTTGTCCCCCCTCTGTCTCTCCATCATATCCCGGGCATCCTAACCATGCCAGCTTTCCTTGTCTTTGCTCCCGCCCCGCCCCTTTTCTTTTCAAGGAGAGAGTTGGCAAGCAAGCAGACAGTGAGCAAGCCTGCAAAATTGCACATGGCCCAAGTCAGGGCCCAATTCTGTGAGGCCGAGCAGGTCCCAACCCTGGGACCCCCACTCCTGACCCACAGACAGCCCTAGGGTGCCGTGACTGCCTACTCGGCCATCCATGCTTCAGTCACAAAGCTACTGACCCCCCTGCACAGCCTGGAGTTTCCACTCTCAGGCAAACTGGGATCTTCAAAAAGCTCATGGAAATGTGTATTATAAATAAACTGTGCCTGGATATCAACATTTTCCAAACCATATATAAATATACACACTCATATATGTGTGAATATAAAAATACATAAAATTGCCAAAAAATTTTTTTTGCAGGGCCAGGAGCTTCTAACAGGAGCATCTGCTTCCTAGAGGTAGCCACAGGTGCTTCATGTGGAACCTCTGCACCTTCCTTGCGGTCGCCAAGCTGGGAACCAAGCTGTGCTGGGCTGTAGGGGCCCTCCTCAAGCCTAGAACTTCCGGAAGGTTCCAGGGAGAGGTGGTTAGTCTCCAGTGTTCCACACGACTCCTCTTATCCAGGGAGCTGCAGGACTTCCACGTCGGATGGTTAGAGCTGCATACCTACCGCCTTGGCCACCGGGAAGCTCCCGGAAGCAGCCCCCTCCAGCCGAGTACCAGACCCCCTAACAAGGATTCTCTCCACAACTCCAGTTCCCCTGCACTCACTGGCTTCTCTTCAGTCACTTCAGCTGTTCTGGATCATCCCCTGGACTATCGGAATGACTTTTCTTATAGCTAAAGAATTTGGATGATTTCTCTAGAAGGTTCTCTTCGGCCACTTGGAGCAGCAACAAGCCTGAGGACCTCTACCAGAGAGCGGGTGCAGACACCTGTGGCAGGGGCTGGTCCTGCTTTTGCTCACCAGCTCGCCCATCCAGGGCCAAACTGGTGCTCACTTACTCAGCCTCCTCCATGGCCACGGGGCACTTGTACTGCGCGGTGTTGAAGAGGCAGATGTCCGCGTACTGGCGCACTAGGGAGGGGAGGGGAGCAAGGCATGTGAGCCCCAAAGGGGCTGCAGGAGGGAAGCCCACCCCCAGTCCCCCCCTTCCAGGGCTGCTCTGCCCCAAACCCAGCACACCTGGCCAGTAAGTAGCCAGGAGTCCCAACCACAGTCACACCCACAGGTGCTGAGCTGGCCAATAAGCACCCAGCCATATCCACTGGCTTCGGGGGTCACTTCCAAGGCTATTTGAACCAGGGCAGGACCCCAGGCTAGCTCACCCTCACCGCCTGAGCTGTCCCCAGGGTACCTGAGATCTTGATCTTCTTCACGGTCTTGTTGGTGTTGTTGGTGACATGGACGTTAACACTAATGGGTTCGCCATGGTAGTAGATCTGGGGAGCAACCGAAGGAAAGGGGGAGGGTTGGTGGGGAGGGCTCCCCAACCCTGGCTATTCTGACCTATGTTCTTACTGTACACTGATGCCAGCAGATGCACTAAGCTTCAGGCTCCTGGCACTGGTCCAGGTCCTGGGGCTAGAGGGCAGGGTTAGGGATTAAGGTTCAAGAGTGTCCAGCTCGGGGTGTCCCTGTCCTCCTCAGGGGTATTACTGCTTCATCACTCAGGGTTCAATTCCCTGAACCTGCTTCTGCAAAGCTGGGCGGGGAGGACTACGCCCTGTGCAGGCACCTGCACCTCTCCACCATTCGTCAGGCCCCGAGAGACTTCCTCATGTCCCCAAGAGAGGGCTGAGGTAGCTTGACCTGTGGTCCTAGAACTGGAGTCTGAGGCCCAGGTCTTGTCCACCAGCCCCACCTCATCCCTACCCCCACCCTCGGTCCTGCCTCCCTCCTACCTCCTTGTCCAGGGAGGCCTCCAGGTGCAGGGGCTTGTCGGACATGAGGAACTGCCTGGTGGTCTCGGCCGTGGGCTGGGGACCGGGCCTCTCGGGAGCATACTGAACCTTCCGGATGACCAGACGCACAGAGTTCCTGGTGGATATGGCCAGGGGAAGAGATGACCAGAGACCCCACCTCTGGCCCCTTTCCTGGTGTTCCCCCACAGCCCTCTACTGCTCCAGAGACCCCCCCCCCCACACACACACACACACCAAGGCTCCCCATGGCCTTAGCATCCAGCTATATGATGTGAAGTTGATATACCCCATCCTAGAACCACTCCCCACCCTGGGCTACTTTCATTCCCCAGACCCTGGGGAGAGGAATGTGTGTGTAAGCCCGCTGCTGTGCAACCACAGCTGCACGGTATGCACCAAGGGACAGGATGCTGAGGACAGGGGAGGAGCTGGGATTCAGTGGGAAGGGGTGCAGATGCTGGGGGCGCATGCCAGGGAAGCACACCCAATGAGGGACAGAGCCTGCAGATGATACAGGCTCAGCAGAGCTGACTGGACTTAGGCAGGGACACCAAGCATGGGTGAGGGGATGGAGACCCTCATGCTGCACACGTGGGCACCCCCATGTCTCAGACAACTAACTCATTTCCCTGAAACTGGAGAGCCAGTTCCTGAACTCGGGAGCGCCTAACTCCTGCCTCTCTTACTAACTTAGCTTCCCTGGGCCTCAGCATATTCATCTAACAGTGACAACAGCAGGACGAAGGTGTGAGGGTAATCTGGGTAATTACGTTAGTCCAGCTTGTCCAGTCTGTTTCCCAGTGAGTCCTTGGGAATGGTGGTTCCTAATTCCTCACTCTTAGTCATCCTTTGGTATGGACTTAAATTACTACGGGGATGGGCCTGGTGGCTCCTGTTCCTTGCCATAGTCAAGCCCTTTCTCCAGTCCACAACATCCTTCCTTCTCCTGGACTCTGGGATTAAGAGGAAAAGGGTAACGGGGAAAGCAGGGAAAAGGGTCTCCCTCCTCCCAACGCTGGCTCACTGTACCTGCAGTACTGCCTATGTCCACCAGGTGGCACGCAAAGCCCATTCCCTAGGAGGTGGCTGTGGTTTACCACAGTGCCAACACAGGATGGAAGGGCAGAAAGAGGCAGGCATGGGAGTGACAGGCATGGGAGGTCAGGGCCACTCTCCCTACTGCCAGCCTGGGCTGTGTCCCTCCATGGGGAAGCTCCTCCTCTCACCTCCCTGGCTCCTTGCTTTGGGCCTCAGCCCTAGCCCTAGCCCTCGGGTCCTGCCCACGGCCTCTACATCCTGCAGTCAGAACAAGCCGCCTGGAGGGGACAAGAGCTGAGGCAGGAAGCCAGTGCAGTAGTGCCAAGGAGGAGCTGCTGGGGCCACCTCCCCCAGGAAGTCCTTGGTGCATGACCTGTCAGCCTTCCACGTGCCCTTCTCTGAGGTCCAGAGGCAGGAATGTCCTGCTCCTCCCGCCTTTCCTGGTATTGTGGCTGATCTCCTTTTCAGGCCCTGCCCCTCGTCTGCCTTCTCCTTCCCCCGGCTGGCCAAGCGCACCCCGCCCATCCCGGCACCGTTGGCCTCCTCACCGCTTGTGGATCTTCTCCTCCAGGTTCTCAGCGCAGAAGGCCTTGACTTCGTAGTCCACCCCGCAGGCCTGTTACAGGGCAGGGGGCACTGACCACAGGGCCATGGAATGGCAGGTGTCTGCCCGCTGTCCAGACCTCACCTCCCACCATTCAATTCCGCTGCTGCTGCTCGGGGTCTGACCCTGACAATCAGCCCGGCCAGCCAGACTGCATGGCCTCCCTCCACAGCGGCCTTCACTGCCTGCCCACCTCCCACCCCCGCCATAGCACTGGGCACCCCGAGCCCCCTGGCAGCACTCTGCTCTTTCGAGATGGACCTACAGAAGGTAAAGCCTTCGCAGGTGCTGCCGGTCTGCTGACAGCCAGCTCTCTAACCACAGGAGGAGGCACATCCTATTCTCTCCACAGTCCAGGGCCAGGGGTCCTCGTGCTGCCATGCCCCTCCCCTGAGCCTTGTCCCCATCTGGGGGACAACAGCAATCATGCCACAGTACACAGCTGCTTGGAGGGGTGGGCGAGGCCAACTATAGGTGCTCAGAGCATTCTAGTCCTGTCGTCAGGCAGAGGGGGCCCGGGTGAGCCAGCAAGGGAGGCTGACCGCCATCTGTGGCTTTGTGCTTGTCCGAGGCGGAATCGGCCTGCTCAGTCCTGAGGAAGTTCCCACAAGGTGGGTGGTTCCCACAGGTCAGGCACCAGCTAGGGATGAAAGCCAGGACCCAGCAACATGTGCATCCCAGACCCCAAGAGACTGTCCTTGGGGTGACCGGTGTACCTTGCCTGTGTCTTCTGGCCCAGGCTGCAACGTCACAGAGCATGGCAGGTTTGGTGGGATCTGTTCAAAAGACAGTCAGAATGAGCCACTATCACAGGAGGTAGCCCTGTTTCTACCCACGTCACACAGCCCTGCCACTCCCACACATCCGTCACACCAGGCCCTTGAGGGCAGGCTGTGCCTCTCCATCAAACTAGAGGCTCCAGGGGCCAGGTGGTGCCGCCTCCATCAGACCCGGCCCTTCATGCCTCAGCCAGGGCCAGAGGCCCCTCTTGAACATGCTTTATCCAAAGGCCCAGCCCTGTCACCGCAGTCATGAAGTCCACCTGCTGGCCTGCAGGCCTGCCAACATGTTCCCATCCACAACTCTGCAAGGCCCTCTGGGTCACTCCAAGAGGAGGCAGGACATAGGCAAGCTCATGCCAAGGAGGAAGGGGTGGTAAGGAGCCTGGACCATCCCTGGGGCTTGGAGGGCAGAGGGGGCACAGTGAGCCAGGGTGTGTGAACCAGAAGAGGTGAGCAAGGGCTTCTGGCCACCCCCACCCACCCCTGTTAGGGCAGCATAGCAAGCTCTCCCTCAGCTCTAAGCTGGCAGCATGGAATTAGCGGCTAAGATGCATAACACTCTAAGATCTCAGAGTTGGGAGAAGTCAGGGCAGGGAGTTGGAGTTGATGTGTGACCCCCCGAACCATACAGTCTGCACTTCTTCCTTCTCCGCAGCCATCCCGGGGGGCCGCCTGCTTCCCACCAGCGCCTGGACTCGAGGGATAGCCTAGCGATCAGGGTACCACCCAGCAGCAGGCAGAGAAGGGACACTTTTCAGGTAGTGTGACAGGTAGTGTGAGTATGCTGGACGCCTGGGGGACATGAGCTCCGCTGCCCCCTGCCCCCACATGCCCACCCTGGGAGCGTCCTAGAAGTGACTAGTGCTCCTGGGCGGGGGTGGGGTAGGGTGGGGAAAGGGGCTGGCGTTCCCTGACCTCGAAGGTGAAAGGGTAGGCATGCTCGCCCAGCTTCTTGATGAGGCGCTCCTGTAGCCGCGTCAGGGGCTTCTTGTCCTCGGGTGCTGGCGGGAAGGACTGCACGTTGGCCACGAACAGGTCCTTGCGGAAAGTCAGGCCCAGCACGTCCAGGTCCTCCCGGCCATAGCGGAAGGCGCACGTGAGAGTCACGTAGACTGCAGGGGGGTGGGGAAGGGAGCAGGGGGCATGAGGAGGGGCCTGGGAGAGCCAGAGCAAAACCCTCACCCCACCGTACCCCACCACGGCTCTCACTGCAGCCCCCTCACCCTCTCACTCCCATGCACAGGGGGAGACCAGTGCCATGTCCCCCGGAGGAGGCCATGATTGGGTGCCTGGAAGGGCAGCCTGTGTGGGTGGGTGGGGAGGGTCTTGGCAGGAGGCAGGGACTGCTCACTAGCTCTCTCTCTCTCCCTGCCAGTCTGTCCTGGAGAGAGGTGGAAAAACACAAAAGTGGGGGCCAGGTCAGGGGATGTTAGGTGCTGCCAGGTGACATCTGCCAGGCACAGAAACTTGTCCCTTCTTCCCTCTAACTCTTCAAAACCCTGCCTCCTCCCTTCCTAACTCCTGCTCTGCACCATCCCCGCTGGCATGGCAGGGCCGGGGCAGGAGGCCTGAACACGTGCTATGGGCCTGGCTGGAGCCTTCGGGACCACCAGGGAGGACGAGCAGGCAGGGAGAGGCAGCAGGATAAACTGGTCTCCTTCCCAGGTGCACGGGCAAGAATATCCCAGACATCCCAGGCTGGAGGTTCGTGGGGAGGAGGAGTGGGGGCTACGGCCTACCTCTCCTCTCTTTGAGATACTCGGGATCCACCAGGACCACACCATCTGGGGGAGGACAGAGAGTGAGTGACTTTCCTCAAGCCCTGAGCCCCAAATGTCAGCCTAAATCCAAACCCAACCCTAGAAGGCCAGCCCCCAGGATGGCACGCCTACTCTCCCCAGCTTAATGGCACAGAAAGGTTACCAGACCTCTGCATCTCCCATCTTTTAGGAAGAAGCCAAATACAAGAGGGGGCGGGGGGGAAGGGAGAGTGAGCATTGTGGCGCAGTAGGTTCAGCCACCACCTGAGATGCCCACATCCTGCAACTGAGTGCCAGCTCTGCTTCTGGTCCAGCTGCCTGCTGATGTGCACTCAGAGAGGCAAGACAGGACAGCTCAGTGCTTGGGCTCCTGAGTGGGAGAACTGGACGGAGTTCCTGGCTCCTGGCTCTGGCCTGGCCCAGCCCTGGCCCCTGCAGACCTTCAGGGAGTAAGTCATGGAAGAGCTCGTTCTCTTGCTCCCTGTCATCCAGCCTTCCAAATAAGAAAATCTTTAATAAAGAAAAGAACTGCACGACGCTGTGGTACACCAGGCTAAGCCTCCTCCTAGAGCACTGATAGCCCATGTGGATGCCAGTTCAAGTCCTAGCCGGTCCATTTCCAACCCAGCTCCCTGCTAATGTGCCTAGCTCAAGTGCTTGGGCCCCTGTTCCCACGTGGAAGACCTGGAAGAAGCTCCTGACTCCTGGCTTTGGAACAGCTTAGCTTCGGCCATTGTTGCCAATTGGAGAGTGAACCGTCAGAAAAATCCTTATCTCCTATTTTCTCCCTGTAACTCTGCCTTTCAAATAAAAATAAATAAATGTTCCAAAAGACAAAAAAAAAAAATCACATAGGCTGAGAAGGCCCAGGGCCACACACATTTTGGGATGGGGCAGCTCTGAATCGTGGAGGCAACACAGAACAAGGATCATCCATCCCAGACTGTGCTTGGCAGAGTCAGCCCCTGGCCACCCCAGCATTCACTCAAAAATGTGCCACATATGTGATTCCCCACCAGGCAAAGTCACCTGTGACACCAGCCCTCGCAGTCGGTGTCTGCACAACAAACTTGTCCAATGAAACGTTCTCAGAACACGGGTGAGCCACCACATGCACACCCGGAGGTCAGCCAAGGCCAAGCCTCCCATCAAGTTCAGGTCAAGTTCTGCTGATAAATGAATTCTGCATTGAGCCTAGGGACAGCCACAGAGGGCGTGTGACCTGCGAAATCTACTCCCAGAGCTCCTGGGAGCACTAAGTGGGGAGTCCATGTTGCCCAGCATTCCCCACCCCTGTGTCTCCCTGATCCCCACACCTACCCCATCTTGCCCTCAGAGGCTGTGACTGCAAGTGAATACCTGTGGGGCTCTGGTCCCAGCCCCATCCTGGTAGCTCCAAGTGACAGGACCATGCCCAGATATCTTCCCTCTTTTTAAAAAAAATACACATACACACATATACATATATTCATGTATATATATTTGAAAGCCAAAGTTAGAGAAGAGGAGACAGATCTTCCATCCAATCGGTTCACTCCCCAAATGGCCACAACACCTGGAGCTGAGCTGATCAGGAGCCAGGAGCTTCCTCTAGGTCTCCCACCTGGATGCAAGGAGCCCAAGGACTCAACTCACCCTCCATGGTTTTACCAGGCCATTAGCAGAAAGGTGGATGGAAAGTGGAGCAGCCAGAAATTAAACATGTGACCATATGGAATGCTAGCACTGTAGACGGAGGTTTGGCCGACAACGTCATGGCACCAGCCCCTCTATAAGATGTGTTTATTGACTTGAAAGGCAGAGAGAGAGATCTTCCACCTGCTCATTCACTCCCCAAATTCCCATGAGAACCATATGGTCCCCAGTCAAAGTCAGGACTCCAGGCAGGGGTAAAGCCAGCCTGAGGGTTCCCAGGCCCTGCCCACTCCCTCTGAAATAGGAACCCCTCCCCACGTGTCTACCCTCACGTCACATGAGTCACCCCAGAGAACCTGAAACCTGCCACTGTGCTCTGTCCCCTCAACTCTGGTGCCCTGCATGTCCCTGCTGCCCCCTGATCCGGGGCACAACTCAGGGACATGACAATGAAGGCACACTCTCTGAAACTCATTCCTCAAGTGAGCTGGCTTCCGGCCCTGCCCTCTGACCTATCACCTCCTGGGCCTCACTTTGGTCTGTTTGTGTCTCTGCTTAAAACATCATTTATCAGGGAGGGTTAAGCCATCATCTGGGATGACCACATCTTGTATCAGAATGCCGGCTGAGACCCCTGCCACTCCACTTCCAATCCAGCTTCCTGTCAATGTAACTGAGACAGCAGTGGGAGATGGCCCGAGTTGATGGACCGCTACTACTTATGGGTGAGACCCAGACAGAGCTCCTGGCTCCTGGCTCTGGTCTGACCCAGGCTGTTGCAGGCATTTGGGGAGTATACCCTCTCTGTCACTCAGTCTGTCAAATAAACAAATCCTTAGTCCTGCTCTGCTTGCTGCCTGAAGCCCATCACACAAGCCTCTCTAGGACTTTCACATCTGTAATGCAAGGACCATGATTGCAGCTGCCCCCACTGTTGGTGACGTAAATTATGGCTGCTAAGTGCTCCTAGATCGCCTGCCTGCACCAGCCCCCCAAGTCCTCATTTGAACAGAGACGCTAGCAGCTGGAGCAGGAAGCCAAATTCATGCCCCCGCCCCTCTGGAGGCCTGAGGTCCACCCCTCTCCTCCCTCCCCATCCTCCAGGGACTCACCCACGGGGTCCACCAGATCAATGTGGTCCACAAAGTCACGCTTGCCCAAATAGACAGTGAGCTGAGGGAGGAAAGCACAGGGTGTTAGCAACCACAGGCCTAGGGGGCACAGACCCCTGCCCTGGGGGAACCCCTGGGAACTAGCTGCCTCCGGGGAACACAGAAATGCATCCCTAACCTGAAATTAGATCCTAACCATCCCCAACCCTGACAAATAGCACATCCTTGCAACTTCTGAAAGCACTTCTCCCCAAAGCCCTGCAAAGGCGGCTTTCCCATTTTACAAATGAGGACACCATACTCTCCACCAAGGGTCAGGGAAGCCAGGGCAGTTCAGGGGCACCAGGCTGAGCCTCTGAGCACTGGCCCTGTGTGCAGCCTGGCAGGGGCCACCCCCAGAAGGTACCCTCTCTGAAGCGGGTGCCACGGGGAGTTGACAGACTCTGCTTAGCACCCAGCTCACATGGAAGACCCCCACCCCAATCTGAACTAGCATCCCAGCAGCTCAAGGCTGAACACTCCTGCTCCTCTACAGTTCCTCAGTCTGGGGGTCCAGCTCCCTTACCCTGCAGCCTGGAGGACCACCCAGCCACTCACGAGATCCCACATGCGCTGGGAGCTCTCCCTCCTCCAACAGACAGTGTGAGGTCGGCCCTAAAGTTTTCGCTGGCTCTCTGGTGCCCAGAGGTACACAGACTAACTCTGGCTGGCTGCTGGGAGAATCAGAGATGGAATTCTGGCACAGCAGGAAAGGGTACTTGGTGATGTCTGAGGTTTGCACCAAAGGAAGCCACGGAAATACACTGACCCAGGTTAGGGCACCCAGCATCCCCTGCCTGGCCACAGGACTCCAAGGACCCAGTCCCCCTGCCCCAGCTCCCATGCCCTTTGCCCACCACATGGAATCCATGACACTCCCTCTGATGCTATGTACCTGCCTACAATGCTCCTTTTCCACCTTGTCCGGCCTGTACATGCATCCCACTTGGGAAAGCCAGCCCTGCCATCCCCAGACATCCTCCCCCCCCCAGCACCTCATTCTTGTGTCAGAGGTCTGTGCCTGCCTTTGCCACCTGGCTGTGAGTGGCACGGCTGTGCCTGACCTACCTTGGCACACCCCAGCCTTGTACCCAGGAGCCTGGCACAGAAAGGCTGCGGGAATGCCTCTCTCTCCTCTGTCCACAGAAGGTGGGACAGAGCCAAGGTGCGGCCAGGCTGCAAACCACCCTGGGTAAGAACCAGCTGCCACCCACCTGTAGTCATGAGCCCAGAACAGGGGCTCCTCTTCCCACCAACTGGGGGCTCCTAGGCACGCGTGTCTCCCCACAGCGGGGGCAGCCTCGGCCCTACTGCCCCACAGGTGCATTTCAGAAAACAGGCCACTTACTCTGCTGTTCCCAGAGCAGATGCAAGGTTTGGAAGTGGGGAACGGGGCTAGGAGGCTGGGAGGGCATAGCTGCTGGGAGGGACTCACCTTTCCGTTGGGGCTGGCCTTCTTGAACACTCTGTGGAGAGAAGGAGATGTGGGCAGGGTCAGTGTACCCTAGCCTGACACAGGGGGACAGGGTTCACAGGCACTCGGATTGCTACCTACAGGAAGCCGCCTGCAGTCAAGTCCCCTCTGCACACAGGAAGGAAAGCCTCCAGGCCTGCCTTCCCTCCTGCACAGCCCCCACTCTTCTCCCACCCCTCCACTCTCGGCTTTGCCTCCGCTGCACCAGGTGATGGCTCTCACAGGCATGCTCTCCCTGGGGAGATGCTGGTCAAGCCCTACCATCTGATTCTGTGCTGCCTTGTGAAAATTTCAATTTAAGAGGCTGAAACAGAACACAATGGTTCACTCCCCCGAATGCCCACAACCATGGCCACAGCTGGGCCAGAGCTGGATCAGACAGGGAGAATTCAACCTGGGGTCTCCGACATGAGTGGTACCACCTGCTGCCTCTGAGGGTCTGCCTGGGCAGGAGGCTGGAGTCAGGAGTTAAAGTGGTGGCTGATAAGAGATTCACATTTCCTCACCAGCAGCTGAGCAGCTGGGCCAAGCATCTTCCGTGTGCTCCTTCCCAGCCCACCAAGCTGGGCACCAAGCTTCTCCGGTTCCACTTTTCCTGTCTCCACAAGCACTCGCTGCTCTCTAACTCACGTGTTCATTTGCCTGACCCATCTACACTGCCAGTCTGGCTGCTCCGTGGACCACGGATCCTGGTTCTTACCCACTGACCCAAGTACCCAGAAGGGCACATCCAGCGGTTTAATAAATACATGCTAACGCTTAACAACGCGTTAGTGGCAGCTAGCAAGCTCTTGTAAGTACTAGTTGAACAGGTGATTGAAACCTAGTGAAGCAATCAACCGCCTTGTGGAACACAGGCTGCAGAATCAGGCAGAACCGTGGTCCCTGCCTTCTGAAAAGCGCTCACTGATCCGCAGCTCATCCTGCCCTTCCCTCCCCTCGAGCTGGGCCTGGGAGCCTGAGAGCCCCCCACCCCCTTACCTGTCCACCAGCCTCTAGCCCCTGAATTTCTCAGAGTAGCTGTCAGGAGGGAGGGGAGAAAAGGGAAAGACAAGAGACCCAGGTAGGAGAGGAGTGCGAGGGAGGAGGGGAGAAAAAGGATGAGGGCGGAGCTCATAAAACAAAGGGAGAGAAAGAGAGACTGAGTGAGATGGAGCAGGTGCTCACAAGGCTGAGAAGAAGCGAGAGGTCCAGCAGGCATCCACGTGGGGTCCAGAGCACCCACCAGCCAGAAAGGCACACCCCCAGGAAGGCAAGGGGAACCACCCCCAGCCTGGCTCCTCCCACCCCACTCCCTGACTTCTGCAGCCCCCAGGGATCACTGATGGGGTCTGAATATGGCCTGCAAAGAGCCTGGCACATCCCTCCCCCATCGCCCCTAGAAGCTGCAGGCTTTTCTGCTCATAAATATTTATCAGTGTTTGGAGTGTGAAGCCACAGTTGGCTGGGGTGTGATAATTGCCAGAGTGAGAAAAAAAAAAAAAAAGGACTGCAGATCATGTGGTTTGGACCAGCTGCTGCCAAGCTGGGACCAGCCCTGCAGAGGGGACAGAGGAAATGCCACAGCCCTTGAAGACTTCAGCTGCTTCCCGAAGCCCTGGCTCCAACCCCACACCTTCTGCCACCAGCGAACCCAGGCCACTAATGCCTGAGACCACGAATAACTGAGTCATGGAAAGCCATTCCAAGGGCTGCTGAGAGGGCCGGGGCATTAAACCCAGGCCTGCAGGAACGATCTTCAAGAAGGGGGTGGCAAGTGGGAGTGAGGATTTACTGAGTTGCCAGTCACAATCCTGAAGTGAGGCGTCACGGCCCCGTGTTCCAGGCCATAACCCATGGCTCAGACAGGTGTCATGGCCTACCTGAGAACACACAGCCTGTGGGGGCTGGGCTGGCTGGCTTGGACCCAGTCCTATTGCTCTCCTAAAGCAGGTGCTTTCATCAGAGGGAACAGCAGAAAAGAGGGGAAAACAAGGACAGGGAAGGGGAAAGGCAAGGAAAGGCAAGGGGCAGCAAGCCCAGCCGGCAGCTGGAACGTCCCACCATGAACTTAACCAGCGCCAGAAGCCCCCTCCTGCCAGACATGGCTTCCTCCATCAGCAGCAGTTGCCGCAATCCCAGAAGACCTGAGTCAGGTCTCCTAAGTCCTTTTCCCAGGACACCACTGACAGACAGTAACCCCATTCCACAGATGAGAACACTGAGGGTTGCAAGGCACACTGTGGTTGGCCGGCTTCTGCTGCCCACATCCTTTCCAAGCTGAGGACCCAGCCAGCCGCCCCCACCCTCCGCCCCACCGAAACAATCCTGCCCACTTCCCCTCCCACACACCAGCAGAGAGGCCCTGAGGGGCGCACCTCCAGTTTCCGGAGACCCTCCCCCTCCCCACAACCACGAACACAACACCCACACGGTCCACTGCAAAGTGCAAGCCCAAGGGATTGTCCCCTGCCCCAACTGGACCCCGCCCCCTCTGACCCTCTGTCAGCTGGGCCCCGCTAGTTGCGGACAACCCCCAACCCCCCTCCAAAACCAAAGGTGCTCAGGCAAAGACGGGAGGGTAGATAAGGAGACAGAAATCTCACGGGAAGGAGGCGCAGGCAGGATGCACGCGGGCTGGCGGCAGGCGCGGGGACGCCATCAGGCTGGTGGCCGGCTGCAGGCTCCCTCCAGCTCTTCTGGGGTCTGGAGTGCCAGGCTGCGCGGCCGCCCCATGGTCTCTGCGTGGCAGCTGCCTCTGCTTACTCAGGGCTTTCCTGCTCCTCCATCCACTCTGTCTACCGCTCTGCTTCCCATGGCTCACCCGCCGCCGGCTGGGCGGCCCGGTGGCCCAATTTCAAATACCCAGGGGAGGAACAGGATGGATTTGCTCGGTCAGGTGTCCCCCGCCAGGGCCAATCAGCTCTGCCCCGGGTGGGTGTGCCCATGTTCCCTTCACCCCAATCTGGGGAGAGGGTCTGCAGAGCTGGGGTTTTCCAAACCGGGGGAGGGGGTCACAGATGAGGACATGGACTTAGAATAGGTCCTTGGTTCTTACTGAAATGACATAAAACGGGGAGCAGAGGCAGGCCTTACAAAGGGGTGTAGCCCATTCACTGGATGGCCCCAGTCTTCTAGACTCTCTCTCTGTAGGATGCACAAGAGCATCCAATGCTACATGGGGTGACTCACCCAGGCCCAGGAGACAGGAAGACAAGTGCCACGTCCAGGCAGGTGCCCTGAACACCGCCATAAACACCACTGTACAATCCCTGTGCCCTCTGTGAGTTCTCTATGGCTGCTGCTGCTACAGACCGCAGACTTGGCAGCTCAGAAACTCCAGGGAGACACAGAGGTCCCTTTGGACACTCTTTCCACCTTCTCGAGGCTGCCCACTTTCCCACCCCACAGCCTCCTACTTGCACTGTCAATACCAGTAAGCACAAGGCAGCTCGTACTACTGGAACACGAACCCTCCAGCCCCAGGCCTGATGAAACCAGATGCAGAGTTCAACTGAAGGTGAGTGGGATGCTTATTGCTCAGGCAAGCTCTGTACCTGGGGACATTACAGACTGCTAAGGCAAGGCTCTGCACACTTCCCCCCAAGAGTGGTTCCACACATCCCCTACCCACCTCATCAGGGTTCCCTGTGGTGCTCTGCATCTCCCCAGGGACTCCGCCTGGCACTCCCATGGAGGGAAGCCTGGTTTCAAATCCCCTGTGCTCTGGCCAAGCAGGCTCTTCACACTCTTCATCCCTCCCACTTGGTCCTCCCTAAAATAAAGTCTTCTCTACTTTAACTAGTCGCCTCCTCTGAACCCAAAAATCCTAAAACATAACACCCGCCACATCACATCTCTTGACTGCTGCTCTCACTCTCCCATGTTTAAGACCCTTTGGAGGGCCCGGCGCGGTGGCACAAGTGGTTAAAGGTCCTCGCCTTGCACGCCCGGGATCCCATATGGGCGCCGGTTCTATCCCGGCAGCCCCGCTTCCCTTCCAACTCCCTGCCTGTGGCCCAGGAAAGCAGTCGAGGACAGCCCAAAGCTTTGGGACCCTACACCCGCGTGGGAGACCTGGAAGAGGCTCCTGGCTTTGGATTGGCATAGTATCGGCCCGTTGCGCTCACTTGGGGAGTGAATCATCAGACGGAAGATTTTCCTCTCTGTCTCTCCTCTCTGTATATCCGCCTTTCCAATACAAAAATAATAAAAATAAATCTTTAAAAAAAAAATTTAAAAAAAAAGACCCTTTGGAGGCGAGCATCCAGCCTAGCAGTGGAAACGCTGCTGTCCCACATCGGAGCGCCTGGGCCTGTGAGCCGACCCCAGCACCTGACTCCTGCTTCCTGCTAATGCAGACCCCGAGAGTCAACGAGGAAGGCTCAACCACTTGGGTTCCTGCCACCCACACAGGAGACGCGGACTGCACTCCTGGCTGTCAGCTTCAGCAGCCCAAGCCATTCCAGGCATTTGAGTAAGCAGGTGGAGGTGAGGTTTCTCTCTTTCTCTCATCGATCGCTTTGGCTTTCAAATAAATAATCTTTTTTAAATTAAAAATAAATAAAATAACACTGGGCCCCTCTGAAGAATACAGAGTAACCTCTTTATTAAGATGAGTTGGGTGTTTCCATCAGCAGCTGTCACTCCCCTTTGCCCTGTGACAGAACATAGTTCCAGGCTCCAGGATTAGGAAGCAGACATCTTTGTGATGTGTTTGCCCGCTGACACCCTCTTTGCTGTCACTGGGCCAGCAATGATCTGGATGGGGACATATCCTCTGACTGACAGGTGTCACGTCTGAGGCAGAAAAGGAGCTCTTGTACCACTGGGATTTGCTTGTTACTGCAGCAGCCCGGCTCTCTTAGCTGATACAAAACAGGAGTAGCATGCAGAGACAGTTCAGTTGCCGTGAATGTGTGTGTGCTAGGTTACAAAGCAGAATGAACTTCAGGCTGAAAATTCAAAGATGTTAAAATCTGTTCTAGAACATGTCTCGCTCATCATGACCCT